AAAGGTTAGTTTAAATATATATATATATATATATATATATATATATATATATATATATATATATATATATATATATATATACATATATAATATTTATTAAGAAAAATGCTACAAATGTTCTTCATACCATTCAAAAGATAAAAAATTGTTTAATCAAGAAAATGTAAGCAGATAAATTGAATAATCTATAAATAGAACGATATGAATAAACAGATGAATAACGATGATAATGGCGATAATAATAATAATAATAGTGATAATGATAATGGTAATAACAAAAAATTTATTATTTTCTCTATTTTCTAGTTATCTTACTTTCTTGTTAAGTTGTTTGTTCTTGTCATTGTTTAACAAAAATAACAAATAAAATAACAAAAATGATTATGAATACTGCAATATTCCTACTACTACTAATGAAAAAAATAAAGAAATAAATGAATTAAAAGATAAATAAATAAGTAAAATAAAACCAAGAATCACAGACCGATAAATAAATAGATAAATAACAAAAAAAAAAAGCTTTCTCGCGTCCATTCCTGGCCAGCAGCGAGTCCCGTCCCACCTGCCACGCCTGGAAATAGAGACCCCCGTCCTAATTTGCATACAAGGATGAGTTTGAGGATTTTCGCGTCACTTCTTCTTCCCGCCAATGAATCTCCGCTGGAAATTTCGCCTGGGACTTATTTACCACTTAATTGCTATTCTATGCAAGGCCGATGTACTCGGGACTCTTGCGGGCGGCGCTTCCCTCCTGCGCCCGTCCTGCGGGGGGGGGGGGGGGGGGGGGGGTTACGAGTGTGTTCCGTGAGCGGGTGTCGGGGTGCTCGCTGTGGCGAATGTGGTGGGGCTCGGGTCGGCTTGGGGGGGGGGGGGTATGTATATATATATATATATATATATATATATATATATCCATACAGATACACGTACAACACACCCACACACACACACACATACGCATATATATATATATATACATATATATATATATATATATATATATATATATATATATATATATATATATATGTATATATATATGTATATATATACATATATATATACACATATATATAGATATATATACATACACACATATATATATGTATATATGCATATATATACACATATATACATATACATACATATATATATGTATATATACATATACATATATACACATATATACATATATATTTATATATATATATGTATATATATATATATATATATATATATATATATATATATATATATATATATATATATATATAAACAAGTACCTACACACACGTTTGTTTGTATGCATTGAAACAAAGCGAAGCAAGCCAGACTCCCCTCCCCCCCCCCCCCTCCCTCCCTCCCTCTTCCCCCAAGACCCAGAGGCCACGAGGCGCCGCCACGCCAGCCGCAGGAGAGGTCACCCGCCGTTGCATATTTAAGCCACGTCGCCAGAGGGACCGCCGTGACCTCGCCTCCGCCTTTGACCTCGCTTCGCCAACCGAAAACTCGGGTCAAAAGGGGGAACGAGAGAAGAGATAGGGAGAAGGGGAATGGAGGAAGAATATAGAAGGAAAGGGAGAGAGAGAGAAGACAAGGAAGATGAGGGAAAGGGGAGAGAGAGAGAGAGAGAGAGGAGAAGGAAGGTAAGGGAAAGGGGAATGGAGGAATAAAATGGAAGGATGAGGGATAAGGGGAGAGAGAGAAGAGAAAGAGGATAATGGAGTTTTAGGAAGAAGGAAGAGATAGATAGATAGAGAGAGAGAGAGAGAGAGAGAGAGAGAGAGAGAGAGAGAGAGAGAGAGAGAGAGAGAGAGAGAGAAGAGAAGCGGGGTGAGGGAGATTGGAAGAGGAGGAGAGAGAGGAGGTTAAAGGAGGTTGAGGTAAAGAGGGAGTCAGAAGAGAAGAAGGAGAAAAGGAGAAGAGGGGAAAGGGAAAGAAAAGGGAGGAGAACGATGATGTTGGAAGAAAAAGGAAGGGCGAATGAGAGGTAATAGGAAAAAGAAGTAAAAAGAGAGGAAAGAGAAATGGAAGAATAATGGCTTGAGTTATGAAGGAGAGGGGACAATAAAGAGGAGAGGAGGGAGAAAAGTGAAGAAGAAAAGGTGGAAAAAAGGGGGAAAAACGAAATATAATGGAAAAACGAATAAAAGGGAAGAAAAAAAACGAAATATAAGGAAAAAACGAATAAAAGGGAAGAAAAAAAACACGAAATATAATGGAAAAACGAATAAAAGGGAAGGAAAAAATACGTAACCCAAACGACTGGAGAAAAAAAAAACAACGAAAAAAACAACAACAAGCGATAAGGAACACGATCTCTCTCTCTCTCTCTCTCTCTCTCTCTCTCTCTCTCTCTCTCTCTCTCTCTCTCTCTCTCTCTCTCTCTCTCTCTCTCTCTCTCTCTCTCTCTCTCTCTCTCTCTCTCTCTCTCTCTCTCTCTCTCTCTCTCTCTCTCTCTCTCTCTCTCTCTCTCTCTCTCTCTCTCTCTCTCTCTCTCTCTCTCTCTCTCTCTCTCTCTCTCTCTCTCTCTCTCTCTCTCTCTCTCTCTCTCTCTCTCTCTCTCTCTCTCTCTCTCTCTCTCTCTCTCTCTCTCTCTCTCTCTCTCTCTCTCTCTCTCTCTCTCTCTCTCTCTCTCTCTCTCTCTCTCTCTCTCTCTCTCTCTCTCTCTCTCTCTCTCTCTCTCTCTCTCTCTCTCTCTCTCTCTCTCTCTCTCTCTCTCTCTCTCTCTCTCTCTCTCTCTCTCTCTCTCTCTCTCTCTCTCTCTCTCTCTCTCTCTCTCTCTCTCTCTCTCTCTCTCTCTCTCTCTCTCTCTCTCTCTCTCTCTCTCTCTCTCTCTCTCTCTCTCTCTCTCTCTCTCTCTCTCTCTCTCTCTCTCTCTCTCTCTCTCTCTCTCTCTCTCTCTCTCTCTCTCTCTCTCTCTCTCTCTCTCTCTCTCTCTCTCTCTCTCTCTCTCTCTCTCTCTCTCTCTCTCTCTCTCTCTCTCTCTCTCTCTCTCTCTCTCTCTCTCTCTCTCTCTCTCTCTCTCTCTCTCTCTCTCTCTCTCTCTCTCTCTCTCTCTCTCTCTCTCTCTCTCTCTCTCTCTCTCTCTCTCTCTCTCTCTCTCTCTCTCTCTCTCTCTCTCTCTCTCTCTCTCTCTCTCTCTCTCTCTCTCTCTCTCTCTCTCTCTCTCTCTCTCTCTCTCTCTCTCTCTCTCTCTCTCTCTCTCTCTCTCTCTCTCTCTCTCTCTCTCTCTCTCTCTCTCTCTCTCTCTCTCTCTCTCTCTCTCTCTCTCTCTCTCTCTCTCTCTCTCTCTCTCTCTCTCTCTCTCTCTCTCTCTCTCTCTCTCTCTCTCTCTCTCTCTCTCTCTCTCTCTCTCTCTCTCTCTCTCTCTCTCTCTCTCTCTCTCTCTCTCTCTCTCTCTCTCTCTCTCTCTCTCTCTCTCTCTCTCTCTCTCTCTCTCTCTCTCTCTCTCTCTCTCTCTCTCTCTCTCTCTCTCTCTCTCTCTCTCTCTCTCTCTCTCTCTCTCTCTCTCTCTCTCTCTCTCTCTCTCTCTCTCTCTCTCTCTCTCTCTCTCTCTCTCTCTCTCTCTCTCTCTCTCTCTCTCTCTCTCTCTCTCTCTCTCTCTCTCTCTCTCTCTCTCTCTCTCTCTCTCTCTCTCTCTCTCTCTCTCTCTCTCTCTCTCTCTCTCTCTCTCTCTCTCTCTCTCTCTCTCTCTCTCTCTCTCTCTCTCTCTCTCTCTCTCTCTCTCTCTCTCTCTCTCTCTCTCTCTCTCTCTCTCTCTCTCTCTCTCTCTCTCTCTCTCTCTCTCTCTCTCTCTCTCTCTCTCTCTCTCTCTCTCTCTCTCTCTCTCTCTCTCTCTCTCTCTCTCTCTCTCTCTCTCTCTCTCTCTCTCTCTCTCTCTCTCTCTCTCTCTCTCTCTCTCTCTCTCTCTCTCTCTTTGTCCTTTCCTCTATCTGTTTCTTTCCTTACTTTCTTCTATCCCCTTCTTCTCTCCTTGCCTACCCCCCCCCCACCTCCTTGCCTCACTCTTTTTCTCTCTCTCCTTCCCTTTCCTTTTATCCATCCGTTCCTCCCTCCCTTCCTCCATTCCTCACCTTCTTCCTCAATTCCTTACCCTCTCCCCCATTTTCCCCTTTTCTTCATCTTCCTCTCCTGCTTCTTCTTCTTCTTCTACTTCTTCTTATTATTATTATTTACATTCTTCTTCTCCTTATTCCCCTTTTTTCTTCTTTTCCTCCTCCTCCTCCTCCTTCTTCTTCTTCTCTTCCTTCTTCTTCTTCTTGCGAATCTTGCCAACCAACATCAAGCGATTTCCAGGATACACAGATTTACATAACGATACCGCGAAGGATTCCACATTTCTCATAAGAGAATAGTCTCCTAAAAAATACATAAAACATGAGTCATTCGACATAATTTTGACTTCCATTACAGGTCACGTGGGCCAAGGCTTTTTTTCTTATGTATTCGGGGTCATCAAAAGAGGGGGATGATAGCCTAATGACGGGGATTAAAGAATGTCAGCAGGAACGTATTGTTTGTATGTGTTTACGCACTCGGATGCACACTCACACACGCATAAATGTATATCACAGACACATACGATCATATACACATGTATAAATAAACAAACGCACGTACGCAAATATACATACAAACTAACACACATACAAGTATAAATACAAGAGTACAAATAAACAAACATACACAGTCAAATATATACACAAACTAACACTTAGACACAAACATAAGCAAACACAAACAAAAACAGTAAACAAACAAACGAACAAACGCACAAATAACCCCCACCAACCCACCCCCGTCACCCCACCCCACCCACACACAAATATCCAAAAAACACACACAAAAATCACCACACAAAACACACCCACATACACACACACTTACACCCAAACAGCCAAACACACATCACTCCATCCAAATTCACAAACCTATATACAGGACAAAGAGCTCACAATCCCACACAACAAACAAACAAATAGGCCTTGAGTACTTACCTGTACATGGGTTTCTTACTGTTGTTCTTAAACCAGAGAGTGAGGATGATTTGGCTTGCAGGCGCTGCATCTGAGACGTTGCAATAGATCCTGGCGCCTTTGCCTATGACGCCGACGGTCCTGGATATTAATC